GGGGGGGGGGAGGGGAAAGGGGGCGGGGAGCGGTGCTGAGAGCAGGAGCTGCGGAACTGGTGTGCATCCACCTTAATTCACACACTACGTAAATTTGTTCAATGGACCCTTGCATACAGTATACAGTGTAAGTATTTACGGTACGCTGTTTACCTTGTTTTGTTTTTTTTTCTTGATTGTTAACTGCAGAAATCCCCGATTCCCACCTCGTCACCATAAAATTGTCATCCAGACTCCCCCCGCCCCAAATTTGCCCCTAGACTCCTCTTCTACCAAGATATGATGTCATCTACAATATATGAAAAAGTTGCTAGTTTTACTGCTCTGTAGTGACGCACAGTCATTATAAACACCCTGAACCAATGCAGTAACACCTATTAAAGTCACAGGAAAGACTGATAAATTTCCCTTAACGTTGGCCTGTGGCAAAGATAAATCCATCCGTCTGGGAAGGCTAGGGCAGGCGGGTGTTGGTGTCCCAGGTGCACACAGAGGTAAAACACACAGACTCTACTCGCCCGTCTGTGACTGGGTTTACAACAAAGAAACCCAAGAATGTTAGGCTGCCGTTGAACAAATAAACCCACTCAAAGGCAGATTTTCTTCAAATCTTAATATTGGAATAACAAGCTGTGGTTATGCATACCGGTGCCCGAAATACCAGCAGGGCTAGCAGAAACCGATTAACGAACAATGGCCAAAATCAGTCAAAGTAATTGTACAGTTGCCTCTTTCCAAGATGTACTCACCTTTTGAGAAGTATCTGGCAGCCTACACCGATTTTGTCTTTAATTCACTCATTTACTATTCATTTACCATCGAAATAACTTCTTCAGCTTTCTGCTACATCTCTCTAATTTTGTAGCGCTGCCTAATGCTTGTTTAGTGGGCTGTAAGGGAACCTGCCTTCGATTCTCTTTCTTTTTAACAACATTTTCAAACCTTACAACTCCGCTTTAGTATTTTAGCATCCCTTGTCCTATTGTCCTTTTCCACACTCTGCTGTGAACAGTGATGTCCCCAGCAGTCAGGCAGCTTCACTCACCGGAACACACGTGTTCCCGGCACCATCTCAACACCCAGCTCCTACCGCACTGCCTTCCCAGCCCAGCCTGGATGAGCGCCTGATCCACACACCGCTCAGGTAGACCGCTCTGGGCCACGGCCAAAATCCAGTGCTTGGTAATATTAAATATCCAGTGGCACCACAGCCACTCCTGCTGTGAAGGGAGTAACACCGTTGTGCCGTGGGGGCAGAATCCAGCCTTGCCCTTTGTGCGAAGACACTGCTCTGCTCGGCAGAGTCCCAGGCCTGTTCCTCCCTGCCTGTTCGTGCTCTGCCTCCCACATCCAGCTGCCCCAGGGGTATCAAGGGTGTCTTTACACTCAGTTTCTCCACTCTCACTCTTGTTTGGCTGCCCTTCCACCCAACCCCTCTTTTCAGGGTCTCCAATCTCAAACGTCTCCTCTCCATCTCAAGTCGCTTACCCTAATTATGTTATTTGCACATCAGTCGTATGAAACACCTTTAATATAGACACTTCCCTTGGTATCACAACGGATAATGTAACCACTGTTTAAAACCCCTCGTCTTTGATCTCACGTGTGCCTTCAATTTGCCATCTCCGAACCGTTCCCTATTCCCTCCCCTCGGCTTGACCCATTTTTAAAACCGGTTTGACCCGAGCCGCCGAGGAATTCAACTTTTTACGATCCCGAGGACACGGTCCAGGACCTCTGCGGTCTCACTCACCGCTACACAACCCCTCTCATCATGTCCCGCTCCCCGACGTGCTCACAGAGGGCTTTCTCCACGTCCCTCCGCCCGGCAGGCGGGGGGCGGTGCGCCATTTCCCCACCCCAGCAACCCCACGC